TTCACCTATACCTACCAAGCCGCTCTCTTCTGGGAATACATCTCCTCGCACAAAGGAAGTCTGATGTTGGCTGTCTAGCATCACAGATTATCACTCTACAGTGGAAGTACAGCTACAAGAGAATGAAAGTTCATTGTTAAAGCTTTGATATATCAACTAACTCTGTAAAGAGTTTGGTTGCATAGGCCTTAGTGAAGGACTCCATCCCCCAAGTTCAGGTCTTGCCTTAGCTGCCCGTATAGCATCACTGCCTGGGGAAGTGGTTGCCAGCTTCGGCTAGGATTAGATCTTATTCAGAAGCTTACATAAATTTTACTTATTATCTGTGAATTTTGGCTATAAAAAAAAAGTACCAAGCAATAGAAAGACTGAAGGAAGTGCCTCTGACCTGTTCCAGGAGTGCTTTTGTGCCCTGCATAAAAGTGAACATTTTCACTTCAAATCTTTTCAGATGCTTGGGAAACTTAATTCCTGAGTTGTGATATACATTGTGAAAGATGGTTTGATAAGAGTCTTCAGAGTTTTCACAGCTGCGTAGAAGAAAAACCCAAAAAACAAAGTTAACACCTGAGGCCTTATATTAGTCAGCTTCTTGTGTCATCTTTACAAGAATGTAAAGCCTGATGCAAGGAAAGAGGGGAACTGAGACTTCTCCAGTCAGCCCAGACTATATTTGAGTAGCTTTTGCCCCAGCATGCAATAATCCAAGTCATTTGCAGAAATAGATGATTGGCCTTGGCAGCAGCCTTGATTAGCCCTGAGTTTATCATCTAAACTCAGGAGTGGTGGTGGTGGTGGTGGTAGTAGTAGTAGTAGTATATATCTTCTTCATGAAAAGGCATACCTGATGTCAGTGTTTCCATATGCTTGAAAGAAGTGAGGGTTGGAGAAGGTAAGAGCAACTGTTTTCGCAGTCACAACTGTATCCCCCCCTCTCCACCCCCAATCATATTTTAGGCAATGAGAGATCTTTAAGCTTTGGCAGTCACACTAGGGATAGGGATCTTTGATTACCCATTTGTAATAATAGCCCACTGTGGACGACTGCCTCCATCTTGGGAATTTGTAGACCAGCAGTCTTCCAGCTGTAGCTCTAGCTGTGGATCTTCAGAATTGAGTAGTTCAATCTCAAAGTACAGGGCCTCCTTCAAGAATTTTGCTACAGGATAGTCCACTTCCTTGTAGGCTTCAGAATAGGTTCTGTCTAAGAGAACACATTTAAAAATCTTCCTATATTAGATAATTCCTTCTTGAGCATCATGGCATGTCATGTTCCTATGCCACCAAGTTATTCTGTTACAGAAGCAGCTATAGTTGTTTTTAGGCATCAGCCCATGGGTGAGGGAATACGACTAGAAGTGATAGTGGAAAGGAGGGAGAGCTGTAGAAAAGATATCAAAGCCCTGGCAATTCAGATCCTCCTCTTCACCTCACCTGTAGGGGAGACTGCCTCATACAGAAAGATCAACAGATTCCAAGCAGTGAGATTTTAGAGGTAAGTGATAGGAGTAATAGATTATTAGGGTTACTATTGTATCCTACCAAAATGTATTTGTCCCCCCCTCCAAGTTTTGTTACTACTTTACACAGGTTGCAAGGCACCTTTAAGGCAAGCCATGACTTCATTTTTGCCATGTAACCCCTTAGTACATGGGGGAGCAAAGAGTATTAAAGGCAGAGCAGAGCCATTTGTAGCAGTAATAATGCATTGAGAAACTGTATGTACAAATCCCATATCTTTCATTCCTCTCAGCCATCCCACAAGTCAAGCCATTTTTTAGATTCTCCCCCCACCCCAAACCATTAAATGTTACCTTTGAACAGCCTAAAGATCAGAGCAAGGGATCCAAACCCTGGCTCAATACTGGGTGCTGGGTTGTTTTTAACTCCATACCGTACCAGGATAGTCTCATTTATCATATACTGACAAATACATTTCAATCTGTGGGGAGAGAAATTTAGATTTAGGTTACATGTTGGTCAAGTCCTCTTTCCCTTTCCAGGGGAGTGGTACTCACTTATACACTGGCACGTTGCTGTCAGGTCTGAAGTAGAGCACATCATTTTCATAGGTCATAACGGTGTTCTCAAACTGAAAGAGACTAGTATTGCTAAGCATATCAACAAGACTGCAGTAAGACTGGAGTTTAGTTAGAAAAACCCTAGGTGTTGCCATAGCCAGTATGTTATCAACAGTTCACATGTTTGTTCAATTGCTTTTTTACCTGTAGTGTCAGCTGAGACTTGACATAAGGACTGCTAGAAACTTAACCCCACCAAACCACAGAAGCATGCATGTTGGTCAATGATAGTTGCTGGGGTAGAGCTGTGGAATAGTTACATTCCAATAGTGCACGGATGTGCCTCTTGGGCACCCGTTACAGGTATCACGCAATTGCCTTGAGACCAGCTACATGTGCAAATACTCAACATGCAATAACAAACTCCAACTAGCCATAAAAGTTAGGCCTCAAAAAATGCATACCAACTTTTGAGGTGATCACTATCAAACTTAAAGTGTGCACATGTAGCATCTCCCATGCATTGGGACCCCCACATCAGCTGCAGGGATGCACCTTGCCCAACCAGGGCTGCAAGTCCTGGAACTCTCATCCCCAGCAGCGTTGGACTCTTGATCCCAGCATTGTCCCACAGCTGTCAGGACTTAGGGTCCCGCAGCTGTGGGCTCCGGGGCTCTGCAGTGTGCCTCCTGGTGCTGGGACCCAGCAGCTGCAGGATGTAACAAGATTTTCTTGCCCAAGGGGTGCATGAAACTTCTGGGACAGGAGGAATCACCACTGCAGTGATCTCCCAGCTGCGGGAGGTATGTGGAGATAGCCCCATAACTGGGAACCTCTCAACTGAGTGGGCTCCCAGCTGCAAGAGCTTCCTTATTGCTAATGCAAGGGGAGCATAGGGTCAGGCTCCTCCTCTACCAGGAAGAAACCATGATAGGATCTAATGCACAGTCCCACAATTGCACCTCCTACCAGGCACATGTGGTATAGCAGGAGGTACGATTGGGCAATTGCACATTAGAGCACATTGTGCTTTTATCTGAACGTGTAGAGGGAGTATTATCTACTATTACACTGTGCCTCATGGAAAAAGAGATTAGTTTCTCAAGGGTCCTGTCTACATGTCTCCCTATGGTGGCAGAGCAATGCACTACATTACTGCGTGCCACAGCAATGTAGCAGCCACGTGGGTCTACGTGTGATCAGCAGCTACGTTGCTGTAGCAGTATGCTCGTTTTAGTGTGCCGCTACAGCAACATAGTGGTGAAATCCAGCTGTGCCCTGTGTGCAGTGCACAGGAAGGAAGTACTAAAGCATGGCACTGTAGCAACATCACCATACGGCAACGTGCAGACAGAGCAAGGCGTCATAACCCCCCCTCCCCCATTCAGCATGGGGAACAAGCATAATCAATTTACATTACCATAAAAAGACAGGCTCACCTGATGTTTTGCACGTATATTCCAGTTATTACAGTGCAATCTTTGCTTTGTGGCCTTTTCTTCCTCACATCCCAATTCAGACCTTCGCTAGTTGTGGCCAACACTTTACACCCACTTAGTCAACAAATATATTGCTACTTGCATGTGGCCATCTTAAGGCCATCATTACTAAAGTATCAAGCTGAAGACTGGCTTGCACAGTGGCTTCCTCAGTCTTTGAATTCCTAGTAATTTTCAGCGAGTGCGTAAGGTCGGAAATAGGGTAAGGGGAACAAGTTTTCCACTTCCCGTGGTTGTGGTTTTGTAAAAAAACCCTGTTCTAGCAAATCTGCCCTCTTTAGATATAGGGTAAGTTTCCAGCTACACAGTTTTTACCTTTCTAGTTGTTCCACAGTTGTTTACATTGAAAATGAAAGTTGCAGCCCTCTCTGTCACCAAAGCAGGCTTGCACTGTTGGTCTCTCAAGACAAACAAGCTTGTGTCCAGGTCTTCAATTCCTGCCAGTTTAATTGCAGTGACAGTCATCGTTCCATTGGACTGACAATCTGAAAATAAGCAGGGTTTCTAATGTTTACAAGCATGGTTGGATCTGCATCAATTAAAAAAGAAATTCTGAACTTATAAAAAAAAAAAAAACCCAAAACAGAAGAGTTTGATTTTGATTGAAGAACAAAAAATCCCTTATTGGCTCAAACTAGAAGTGCTAAAAAAACAACAACAAACACACACCAAAAACCCAACAGTGCATGCATCATGTACTGGTTAATTCACATAAAAGGGAGGTACCTATTAATTCTTTAGTAGAGAATCTACAGGAAATTGAGAAGTCTCTCATAACTGCCAGGCTGTTGTCATCCTTCATTGTGAGATGAAATGAAGTCATTATTCCCAAGGGATGAATATCCTAAAGAAAAGAAAAAAAAATAATCACAAGTTGATCAGTAGATTAAGTGACAGACATTTTGGTCTAGATGAGTAGTGGCTTATGTGAAATTGAAGTGATATTTACAGTGGAGTCTAAGGGTGAAACCCTGACTCCATTGAAATCAGTGGGAAGTAACAGCTTTTGTGGTGCCAGGGGATAAAACCCAAACTACAGCATGCCATACTTACCTTGCTTACTTTTGTCCCACTTGCACTAGAGTTCTGACAATTTAGCACTACCTCAATTTGTAGCTTGGCTTGCCGTGCTTGATCAAGGCTTACTCTAGTGACCATCCTTCAGGTGCTTCAGCATGGAGAAGCTAGCTACCAATCCCATGGATTTCAAGAACAGCTTGGGAACCTCAGGCCTACTTTCTCAACTGTTTGCTGTCACATGATATTCTACCTTCTGTTACAAGTAGCCAAGTTGATCAGGCCATCCCTGTTTATTGCATGTAGTACTCATTAAGCTTAAAGAAACAACATAAATGTAAATCCTTTAAGTCACTATTAAAATCAGACCAGCTGGCAGATTGGATGTGTAACCCTGCACACTTCCAAGCAGAGAGACTAGTTGAGTAAATAAGATGTAAAAGATGCAAGGTATGGCCATAGAAACTAACAGATTCAAGCAATTGCATATGAAAGTATCACTGGTTACCCTTACAGAGGCTACCCAAATTTCACTACTTTGGTATGCATGTATACCAATTGGTTGTCCCCTTATTGCTAAACCTTCCTTCAAGCCTCCCTGTTCCTTCGGAAGATCTGTCACTTTCAGCTGTGATCTTCAAAGGCCTTGAAACTCCTTGCTCATTTTGGCAGCTAAACCAAGCCTGGTATTAAGTCTTCCAGCTGCAGAAAGGAAAGGGGAGACTTGTTTGGAAGCAGACTTTTTTTTTTTTTTTTAGTTAATGAAAAGGGGGTGTAAGTGAAAGAGTGCCTAATAGAAGCAGAGGGCTTCTTGAGTGAGTGTTTGCAGAAGCATTAGGTAAGATGGTACAAGAGGTACAGGGTCTATCCAAAGCTTTCTTGGAAGGGAGTTCTTGAAAGATTTTAGGCTTTGCAAGTGCTCCTAGTTTAGCCTGTTCAGAAATAAGCAGTTTAAAAACCTCTCATTGTCATTAGCCTTTCCTCCACTACCAATGGGGTGGAAGGGAAGGAAGCCTCCAATACTCCACCCCCAAACAGATTTTTTAAAAACCTCCCTTAACTTAAGGGACAAGCGACAGGATGCATTTGTAGACGAAATTGCATTTGAAGAATTGGAGTTCTATTTCTTTCCTAGTTGTTAAAATAGCAAGCTTTTACTGGAAATAAAGTACACTTTAGTTATGTGTATTTTTTTTTTTTTTTTTTTTTTTT